TTGAATAGAGGACAGTTCGACGATTCTAAAGTAGTAATAAGAGTTAAAAATCCATTTGCACTTCATAGAAATATTTGACTCCAAAAAAATCAAAAAGTAGCATTCTCTATAGCATTTTCCCAAAAAACAAAACACGGAGGGGGGGACGTCCGCTAAAAAAAATTATCACCTCAACAAGTTGTATATATGGTGAAATTTTCAGACTTCTATCATTTACAATAGAGGAACTAGATAAGGTCCCATTTTGCTGGGATTCCCCAAATTGGCCATCTCTTTGGATCCCTTCGCAAGATTTTTAAAATGTTTTGAACTTACAGCTATGCTTATAGGGATAAGTTCTACAAACTCTGAAAGTTTCATTCGATTCGGATGAAGTCGATGTAAACTCTGGTACACTTTCGAAAGAATAGCCCATAGTATGACTATGAAAAGTCCTGCTGAATATCAATTACCTCTTGTCCAGGTCTAATAGGGTGCCGAGTATCATTATTCGAGTTCGAGTGTAAGATGGCCTGGTCGGTTCAAGCCCATATATTAAGAAGGGTGCCGGTCTGAGTCCCTGTGCGAAAAGTCATACCCGTGCAGGACACTAGAGGTATATGAGCAACGTAACAGCATGCTTTTACGATAGTTCTATCTTAGCATAGGAACAACTAAAAGCTCTGAAACTTTCACAATAAACTATGCTCATCTTGCCCTCTCTCTGTGAAGAGTTTCAAGTCGAGATTCGAAACATGGTTTTTCGTGATGTTCCTGAGCCAAACTATGGCTTTGCAGTTAAAAATACCCTAAAAATGCGATATCTCAGCAGCAATAAGCCAGCAGCACGAACTCTTTTCAACGTATTCATAGCTCATGAGGGCCTATATGATGCACATATTGCCGACTTGAAAGCAATTTGACAGTTGGAGAGGTTCTCTCGTTAGCATTGTTTCTTTTTCTTATGAACTACTACAGCCCACGAAAATTGAACGGATACCCTTTGCTTTTTTCCTTTTTATTTTATGTGCAAATAATAACTTAATAGAGCAATCGGAGTCTTACCCATGTAAAAAAAAGTAGCAGTAAAATCAGATTGGCATCGATTAAAATCGATTAAAAAGTGATTACAAATCGATTAAAATCATACACCTTTTAATCGATTACTTCTGATTAGCTTCGATTATAATCGATTAAAATTTAATGAAAAAAAAATCGATTTTTGTTCTGAATACATAAAAAAATTTTCAGCTGATTTTCATCGATTTGAATCAATTAAAATCGATTTTTGTTCTGAATACATAAAAAAATTTTCAGCTGATTTTCATCGATTTGAATCAATTAAAATCAGTTTTTCTCATTAAATTTTAATCGATTATAATCGAAATTAATCCGAATTAATCGAAATCGTGTATGAAATTTTGATTTTTTTGATTATTTTTGATTAAAAATCGATTAAAAGGTGTGTGATTTTAATCGATTTGTAATCACTTTTTAATCGATTTTAATCTGGTTTTACCCCTAACTTTTTTACATGGGTTACAGTTGTTATTTCTCATGATGACGTTTCACGCAGAAGAATGAGACCGACTTGTGAGTGGTATATTTGTCAACTTAGCAGGTAAGACTTTTAGATAGTCTAGAATTTGAATAAAAGCTAAATCCAACGATCTACTTCTGATTTTAGTTTGAAGAGGTCATATTGCCAATCCTGTTTGATATCGATCCAACTACAGTGACCTTTGCAAAGAACTGAGTAAATCAACAATGCTTAAAATAGGAGATTGATTGGTTGAAGACTTACCCGATGAATTAATAATTATTTCGCCAAATGAAACGCATGGAGATAGGCGTGCATTTATTTGACGAACAGCTTCTGCTTGTCGAGTATCTGTATTTTTTAGCTGGTATTGAATGATTGTGCGCAAGTTTTCTTTCACTGTATCATCGCTAACAAAATCATACCAGGGTACCATCTCCAGAATCTGCAATAGAGCAGGTCCAACAGCCAATGTTCTTTTCCAGTCATTATCATTGTCAACTATCACACTGCCACCGAGATGTCGTTTCGATATCATGCGCGTTTGATTAGCATAGTAAGCACAACGAGCACTAATGGGACCTCGATCTGAGAAAGGTATGCATTCAGAAAGAATATCATCGTGATCGGCAAGGAAGCATCGTTTTACTTTGGCTCGTTCTTCGATCATGCCACCAACGAGCGACTGAGTAATGATATGAGTTCCCCAAGCGTTGATAAAATCTTCATAGAGTTCAGCATTGAATCGTGCTGTTAACTGAGAAAGTGCACGACGCGCGAATGAATTAAGCTGAATAGCTGATGTGTTTAGTGTAAGTGTATACAGGCCGATCACACGTTGAGAGAGTACCAAAGAATCATTCTGGGCAAAATAACTAGAACAAAAGATCATATTTCTAGTTTACTCAAAAGAAACTGACTTGATATTCTTATAGTGCATTCTGTCCTCTGCAAAATGATGCTTTCAAGAAATATATAGTTTTACGACTGTAACAGCTCCATATCGGATCAGTTCATGAGAACTGTTACAGTTCTATATAGTTCACAATCTTTGTACGAAGTGAATTACAAGCTCACTATTACATCTGCCAATCATCGATCTTTTTCTGATAAGTTACTATATGATTCAGCGATTTATCAGCCGTAACTGATCATACGAAGTGTAAAACTGCACTACTTGATTTAGAAGGCGTGATAGTTGGTAACGCCGATTATAATCAAGTGTTACTATAAGACTTCTATTATATCTATGATCCTTGTTGATGTTTCTGTCTTTGATTTTTCACAAATAACTCTGTAATAAACAGACAATAGAACAGATCAGCAAGACCTCGTGAATAAAAGTTGAAACGTTTTACACTTCGAAATCAAGGTATTTCATTATCGTTTACTTGATAAGAGCAATTGGAGGCAAGATCTACTGAGGAAAAGTAGCATTCTCAAACTTTCTCTGATTGTGTTTCTATTTTCACACTGTATAAATGAAAACACACTCACTTGTCGAAATAGTCGAGCATATCAGGTGTACGAGCTAATTCTCCACCACGGACTTTGCCATCAGCAAATGTTTGTCGCCAAGCTGCATCTAGTTGTGAAACGTCATGAAAAATGCGAACGCTCTCTTTATCATAAGCCGGTACCACTATGTTAGCTGCGCCAAGTCTTGCCTCGTTAAATATATCAAACATTGCACCAGTATGGCCATCAGTCCACATACGACTGCCTTCAGATGGATATGTTAGTTCTACAGCTGGAGCCGTGATTCGACCAGTGCTTCGATCGACAGTCATACCAACACCACGTGGTAACTTTAAATACTCTAAGTCAAGTTTTCTACCAGAATTTCTTATAGGACGATCATCAAAACATCTCATGCCTTCAGTTCCAACAAATGGACAAAGAGCAGTTCGAGCTTCCTCAGTGAAAATGAACGGCGATGTGGTACGGTTTACCGCCTGTGGTTGTTGCTGAGTACTTGATTTTAAAGAACGTTTTGCCAGCGGTCTTTGGCATCGAGATTGAGGCGGCTTTGGAATGGATTGAAGTCGTGCAATATACTTGCGCTCATTCAAGTCAGCTTGAGTGCGAAAATACAGAGTAGCTTCCGTAAGAGACTTTCGTTGATGGCTATTTGATAGCAAAAGCGTATAGATAGGAGTAAGATCATATGATATTGGTCGTGGATGTTGTTTCACTGTAGGAATCCATTCACGCCACTTTGAAATCTCGATTGACTCATTACCACCCATTAATTGCAATGAATACTGAGCGTGTTTTGTCCATTCTTCACTTGTAATTGTTGTTTGCTCAGTGTTGTCACTAGACGAACTGAATAATCCCCATGCCTCACGTCTTGTCACCTAGATAAAAATAAACCAATCCTAATTTTCATTCGAAGCTAGATACTTGTTATTTTACATGATATCAACATCCTTCTTTTAATACAAGCTGTTAGATTCAAATACAAAACCGTACTTCTTTTGTAAATCGATCGCAATCTTAAGTGATGAATTGCTCTACTCACTTGTTCACGAATCCATGTCGTATTTCTTATGCGAAGCAAACAACTATCGAACCAATCTTGTACCCAAGCAAGTCCACCCATAGTTGAGCTCATCACCATATGAGTACCAAAGACATCAAAGAATTGTTTGAAAAATTGAATATGTGTTTCATTCGTTGGTTGGAATGTAGAAGGCAAAGCTGCAATCGCTTTAGTTGTTAAATCGTTCAATTTCGGCGTGGGGAATGTAATTACATTTAGTGAGTACCAGGCGATTTGTCGTATTTTAGACGCTAAATAAGTGTCAAATTGATAAAATCGATGATGTATAGATTCACTCTGGATGGTGCGAGTTGATGAACTGAAGCCCAAAAACCCGTTTGAATCTTGCCACGAGTTATAAAAAGTTTTTGTAATAAACTCGTAGACATTCTTAATGATCTGTGTTTCGATCACTTCAAGAGAGTCTGATGCATCCATTACATAGAATCCATAGGGAACTACATAAGATAGCGATTGGTTATGTGGATCAGTCCAGTTACTAATATCATTGACATCACCCAAGTCGAGAAGACAATGACGGCTTTCCAATGTCATTACGTCATAGCCACATCCAACAACATCCAATCCTTGAATAAGAACATTTGTTGATGGCAGAAGACGAATTATTGATTGAGGTGACGGTGAACATTCACAGTGAGCATAAAATAATGTAACATAAATGAATGTATATATTGATCTCATTATCTGAAAAGAAAACTAGTACTTCTAGAGGAGCGTTTTGTCAAACACCGAGGGATGGGTGTGGGTGTAAGTGTTGGTATTAATTTCACATCCACATCGACACTCACACCGCCTACACCTACACCCACACCCATACTCACATACCTACACTCACATCTTGCGTTTTTCAGTTAATACTAAATATGGTTTATACAATTGATACTTTTCGCATGGCAGATGTTCCAGTGGCTACATCTGTTTTCTGTACATGGTGAATAAAGAATGTCAACCTGTAAGTGATCGGAGTTCTGTATCTATTGAGGTGTGATTCAAAATGCTTTTTTCTTGATATGAAGCGTTGATTGAATAGAAAATTTCAAAAGTCCATTTTTAACCTATCAATTGACTAGGGAGACCCTAACCAAGCAGATAAACTTTTGGAAAAACGCGTTCAAACGTACAAAAATTGGCTTAAAATCGGCAAAAAGTGGACGTTTTGGGCTCACACTTGCGGCTCCCAACTGTGAGCCCAAAACACTCATTTTTCGCCCTTTTGTGCATTTAAACGCGTTTTCAGAGAAAAGACGCGCGCACGCGCATACAAAGAAGAGAAAAATGATCGGTTTTTCATATTCGAGGTGCATGATCATGATTACAGCTATGGTTCTTTCCAGGACAAGTCTTACGACCGCCGTAACCGTCAGAAACGATAACGTATACTGTCGTTTTTGGCAGTTTACGGTCGTATTTGACTCGTTTTATATGCGCCGTATTACGGCCGTATTTCATCGTATTGTAAACGAGCGTAAACGATCGGATACTCGATTTTCAGACCGTTTACGACAGTTACCAACCGTATACGGTACGATAAAAAACGGCCGTAATACGGCGCATATGAAACGAGTCAAATACGATAAAAAACGGTCGTTTACGGCCGGGTCTGATTGACCTGGGTTGATTATAAAAAAAAACGACCACTTTTCTCTTCTTTGTATGCGGATACACGCTTTTTTTCTCTGAAAACGCGTTTAAACGCACAAAAAGGGCGAAAAATGCATGTTTTTGGCTCATATTTGGGAACCGCAAGTGTGAGCCAAAAATGCCCACTTTTTGCCGATTTTAAGCTAATTTTTGTGCGTTTCAACACGTTTTCCCAAAAGTTTGTCTGCTTGGGTAGTGTTGTCCATTATCTTCTTTGACTATCCTACCACCAGTATACGAAACGCCCTGTTCATTCTACGCGCGTCAGTCTATATGACACCTCTGAGTCGCCTCGGCCGTTTTAGACACTCGCTGGGGGTTACCCACCGGCACTGAACGTTACTCACGTCCAGCTACAATGTTCCACAGATGATATACGATACAAGGGTCTTCAATGACTTTTTCCGATGTTAACACTACCTTCCTTGTTTTTATTCCCAGTCATTGATTAAATTCTGCATGTGCAAGCACAGCAGGTCATTAGACATTACCATTAAGTCGTCAGTTGCAACCTGATTTAAGCCATTTTTTTCCATTAAATCTCCTTTTAAGTTCGAAAGCACTTCGCCACATGTGCCAAGGACCACCGATAAGAACGTAACTTTCCAATCTGCAATTTGTAATTCACGTTGTAAATTATCGCCTCAAGAGTATGGTAGTTTCGTATCTTGTTCCCAATTACCATTGACACAGTAACGGTTTGTTTTAATCTGTATCTGTCTTTCAATACCAGTAAACCATGATATTGCAACTTTAATAATCAAAGCTGTCTTTTCTGGCTTATTGAAGACTATTAAATCTGGCTTGTTATGGCGAATGATCGTTCTGGTTTGCACTGGTTGATTCCAATACAACTTAATACTATCATTCTCTAGAATCGTTTCCACTTTCTATGAGTAGTTTGCAGGAGTGAGACTGTATTTTTGACATAATCTATAGTGTATATTTCTAGCAACTGAGTCGTGACAGTCAACGTATAGGTTTGACAACCACTTGAAACAACTTGAAAGGACATGTTCAATTGTTTCAAGAGGACACCGACACGCTCTACAACTCTTATCGTTCAAATGCTTCTGTGAAAGATGTGTGCGCATTATTAAGCATCCTTCTTGAGCTGCTAGAGCATTCCATACCGCTATCGATGATAGTTTTCCTTCCTTAAACCAGGTAAAGGACTCTATCATATCCATGCTAGAGTCTGAACGTAGAACACATCCTGCTAGCTCCAATTCTTTCCATGTTTTGTACCGTCTGGTGTTATTAACAGTACGCATTAGCTTGACCACATGTCTTGCTAACGTTTTAGCGTCGTTAAAAGAAGCACCATCTATGATGACAGTGGAACGCACTTCTTCTAACATATAGTCTATATCCTATATCTTTAAAATGCTGCCTGCATCGCTAACTACATATCGTTTCCGACGGTTAGCCATGCTCAAAAACAGATTTAATGATCCTTTTAATTCTGCTTTCGTACAGAGATACGCCCATAGGTATATGGTGAACTCCTCTAAGGCGTCCTTAATCGATTTAAGACCATATCCTCCCATTTCAGCTGGCAGGTACAATCTTGCTACACAGCTGGATTTTTGTCTAGCTTTAAGTTTCACAAGGAGTTTGCGAAACTTCTTATCTAGATTTTCACCTCGTTCTAAGATACTTGCGTATTTGTCACTACCCTTGATTATGCAACTGGCTATATACTTAAATACAGGAATGATAGTGGTGTTATAGGAATTCACTTTTTGTCGAAAAGTAAGATCGGAATTCCATAATCGATGTGCTTTTTGATAACACCTGTCGTACGCACGATCGCATGCTTCAGGCTTCTTTAAACCTAACTTCTGTTCCATGCCCAAATATCTGTAGACTGCTTCACCATCTAACATCGGGAAGCTTATACTTCTGTCAGTAGATGTGTCAGTATCTACAGCTATCTGATCATTTCGCATCCGCCTCGGAATAAAGTGTGCTACAGTACATTTTTTAACATTCAATTTCATATTAATGTCCTTTGAAATTGATGCTACGACTTTGATCTGATCCTTTAGACTTTCAGGTGAGTTTGCATACAGTTTAAGATCATCCATATAGAAAAGATGACAACGAGATTTGCAAACATTTTTGTTTCCCAGAGGTGGTAGTATAACCACCGTTAATACTATTTATTACGTGACTGATGGGAACCATCGCTAGACAGAACAACAAGGGACTGAAGCTATCTCCTTGTAGGACTCCGGAACGAATCCTTCGATAATTACTACGTTCTGTCTTTCCTCTGAGACCTCTTGCTTCATAACGTACTCTCCAATTATTCATGATGCCTTTCAAAAATGTTCGTAACAGGTCAGGAACTTGCACTACTTTGAACAGCCATTTGATATAACTATGCGGGACACTGTCAAATGCCTTCGCATAGTCAATCCAAGCTACACTAATAGGTCTTTACTTCTGATTCGTGGCATCTACTATTAATGTTTGGTCCAAGGTGTGAGCATGTGAGCAAGCCCACACACCTCCACGTAATGCTATCTGCTCGTTGGGCAGGATATTTCGCCCCCTCACATACTGATCTAAATATGCGGCTATAAAACCTGTTACCAGCTTGTAGCAGGTACTTAAACAAGCTATAGGTCTGAAGCTTGCGGGATCAGACTTAGATCCGGGTTTATGTACGAGTACTATGCGACCATCAGTTATCCATCTCTGTGGTAAGGGGTCACCAGATAAAATATGATGAAGACTTAAATCATAAAGTGGTGCATTGGCTGAACCAAAGACTTTCCACCAGTACCCTTGCAACTTATCTAGACTATGTGCTTTCCATGGTTTTATCTTTTGAACAATCTTCTGCCAAAGTTCAGGGTTCAATCGACCTTTTGATCAGTTTCCCCTTGAATATTTGACATCGTGTGTTCCCAAGCTACTAGCCGTGGACTCTTCGAGTTAAAAGACTTTTTTACCCCTACAATATCTTTCCAGAACTTTCTAATCTGATGGATATCAGCTGGTTCTGAATCAGTAGACGTGCTTCGGAATAGT